AATTGATAGTTGTAAAGAGATCCCTTTTTCCGAATAAATTATCAACTGGATGTATAGAACTCAAAAGTTCGTTTGGTCACGTGGTTAAAGCGGAAACGGCTAAGTTTATTTTTTCTTTATGCGAAAGCAAAAAACAAAAAGAGATAGAAGCAGCGATGGTTGATGAATTGATAACAGACTGTATTTTCCCCCCTTCCTGCATAAAAATGATCTGTTGTGACCAGGTGATGACTACGCAATATGAAAATGATTCCGTCTCTTCGGAAAGGAATTTTTTGTCTTTTATTTCTGCAGCCATTGAGGCAGACAGCGAAACAGATTTATGGCATATTAAAGATGAAGGATTACGCAATACTGTTTCCACTCTTATTAATGAGTATAAACCGTTAGAAAAGCCGCGCGCAGTACAGACTTAAAAATGAAAGTAATATTAAAAGATGATATTCCAGTTTCTCAGCGTTCGAGGAGAATTCCTTTTGCTGACCAAAAAATTGTTGATAATCAAATAGATGAATGGTTAAAGGATGGGATTATAAAGCCGTCGTGTTCAGAATATGCTTCGCCAATTGTTTTGTGTAGAAAAAAATCGGGGAAGATACGGATTTGTGTTGACTTCAGGCAGTTAAATAAAAAAATAGTTAAGGATTCTTTTCCCATGGAACAAGTAGAAGAGGTTTTAGATCGTTTGGGTGAAGCAAAGGTTTTTTCGACATTAGACTTAAAAAATGAGTTTTTTCATGTTCCAGTGGAGGAAAACTGTACTAAATATATATTTGGCATTTATTACTCATGCAGGCTTGTACGAATTTCTAAAAGCACCTTTTGGTTTGTGCACGTCCCCTAGTGTGTTTCAAAGATTTATTTATAATGTGTTTAGAGATTTAATTCGGGATGACACTGTTGTTACTTACATGGACGATTTTATTATATCAGCACGAAATGAGAACGAAGGTTTAGAAAAGTTGAAACGCGTTTTAGAAGTAGCCAAAGAATATGGTTTGGAGATTAATTTTAAGAAATGCCAATTTTTGAAAAGAAAAATAGAATTTCTCGGGTATGTTATTGAGGATGGTACAATTCGCCCCTCTACTGAAAAAACTAGGGCTGTTCAAAATTTCCCGGAACCCAAAAACCTTAAGCAGATTCAAAGTTTCTTGGGCCTAACTGGGTATTTTAGGAAATTCATTGCCAATTATTCAAAAATAGCGAAACCACTAAGTGATCTTCTTCGTAACGGAGCAGAATTCAATTTTGGGCCTGAGCAAAAAATGCATTTAATAAATTGAAAGAACTTTTATCCACAAGTCCGGTTCTTCATATTTTTAAACAAGGAGCACCATTAGAATTGCATACAGACGCAAGCAGTCATGGTTTCGGCGCTGTATTGCTACAAAAGTCAGATGATAGACAGTTACACCCCATTTACTTCATGAGTAAAAAAACGAGTCTCCAACAAGAGAAGCTATCTAGTTATGAGCTTGAAGTTTTAGCTATAGTAGAAGCTCTAAAGAAATTCAGGAATTACCTTTTAGGATCTAAGGTCAGGATAGTTACGGATTGCGATGCTTTCCAGAAGACTATGTTCAAGAAGGATTTAACTCCTAAAGTGGCGAGATGGGCGTTACTTCTAGAAGAATTTGACTGTGAAATTGTTCACAGATCTGGGCAACAAATGAAACATGTGGATTCATTAAGTAGGAACGCAGTTATGATGGTTACTTGTTCTCAGGGAGAAGTTACAGCCAAAATTGCAGCTGCGCAAAGAAGTGATGAGCGTCTTCAGTTGCTAAAATCCTTAGTCGAGCAAGGACTAAAGAAAGATTTTCTAGTGAAAAATGGAGTATTATACAAATTTGACAGAGGTCGTGAGTTACTTGTGGTACCCGAAGCATTAGAGCTAGAAATCATACGTAGTATCCACAACAAGGACACTTCGCAGTGTCTAAAACCGAAGATCTGCTGAAAACCGACTTTTTATTCCTAACCTTAGAAAAAACGAATTGAGCAAGTTATTTCAAATTGTATAGAATGTATTTTGTGCGACAGAAAACGAGGTAAGAGCGAAGGATTGCTGAATCCCATACCAAAAGATAGTATCCCTTTGAGCACTTTTCATATCGATTTTATAGGACCATTACCGTCGACAAATACGAACTATAATCACATCTTAACCGTGGTTGATGCATTCACAAAGTTCGTGTGGCTCTATCCAGTAAAGTCTACATCAGCTCAAGAGGCATTGCAGAAGCTGAAACTGCAACAATCAACTTTCGGTAGTCCTTTGAGAATTATAAGTGATAAAGGTACGGCGTTTACCTCTAAAGACTTTGAAAATTACTGTAGTCAAGAGAATATCCAGCACATATTCACAACTACCGGCGTTCCTAGAGGAAATGCACAAGTAGAAAGGATTCATCTCACTCTGATTCCAGTCCTATCTAAATTATCCATAGATGATCCAACCAAGTGGTACAAATATGTTGGAGATGTACAAAGGATCTTAAACAGCACTAAGAGCAGAAGCACAAAGAGTTCTCCATTTGAGCTTCTCACTGGTGTTAAAATGAGAAATCGAGAGGACTTAAAGATTATGGAAATTCTTGAAGAAGAAGAAAGAAATACTATGATGAAAGATCGAGAAGATATGAGAGAGGAAGCAAGGAAAAACATTCTAAAAATTCAGGAAGAGAATAGAAAAACATACAACAAGAAGAGAAAAGAGGCACAAGTATACAATGTGAACGACTTAGTTGCCATACAAAGAACGCAATATGGAGGTGGTCTAAAGTTAAGGCCAAAGTTCTTCGGTCCATATCGTGTAACAGCGAGTAAAGGCAAAGATCGTTACCAGGTGGAAAAAGTGGGACACCATGAAGGTCCTGGATGTACCACTACAGCAGCTGATCTCATGAAGCCGTGGACTTCTACTATATAAAACTATGTGTGGTTCTTCCACACTTCTTTCTTTTTGCTTTTTTTCCTTTTTTTTTTTTTTTTTTAAATTTATTTTCAGGTGGTGTCTTGATGTTCCAGTGTTGCTGATCCGTGTTTTCGAGGACGAAAAAATGTCAGGAAGGCCGAACTGTAGTATCTGGAAGTGCGACACAACCACCAGAGGGCCTCACCGATGCGCCAGCAGCGAGGTGAAATAGGAGTATGACAGAGACTCTTCTGCTATCCCACGCGAAGGTGGTGAGATGTCTGTCTGCACGTGAAGGTGTAGATTAAGGAACTGTAGTTTTCCACGCGAAGGTGGTAAATTGACTGTATAATACATCAGCAAGTGCGAGTAGGCACTAATCGGTTATGTGATGAGACTGGTAAAGCTATACAGAATCCTGTTTGTATCAAACGGCACTTGTATTTAATCTAATTTGTACCTTTTCTGATTATATTTATTAAATGTTCTGTGGTGTGGAAAACAACGTTGGAATTGTTATTTAGCATCTTCAACTCCCCCACTACATAATAATATAGTTTCATTCTAAAAATATAGGAGCAGTATAACTTGATATAAAGCACGAAAAAAAATTTATACTTTGGCCAAAGACAAGCTTTTCGTATCAGTTATAAAGCTAGAAATAAATTATTTTTTAAAGAAATATAAGTTCACTTATCGGTAGAAAAGGGGTATGGACAAGTCCGTTGTGATTTTTGAACCGTTCACTTTATAATGGAGCAGATATGGACGCGTCAGTCGTTACTTATTAACCGAAGCAATATTTTGGTTAAACAATAAAATCATTGTACCGATTTATTTCTCCGAAGGATTTGTTTACTAATTTTTCTTGTCTCAAACTAATAACGGTGTATGATTTATTTAGTGTAGAATTATTTTATGCTTAGTTATTAGTTATATATATATGTGTGTGTGTGTGTAAGCATCGTATTTAAAAATTAACAAAGTTTTTGCCAAATACAATATTTTAATATGAAACAATTATTCGCTCTTTATTATGTACAAAAAAACTCTAATCTGAGATGATATTATATTCTAACATCAAAAGTACAACTCTATTATTAATATGAGATTTAACGTTATACAGTCAATTATATATGCAATATTTAATTATTTTTCCCGTTTTTCTATTAATTTTGGGATCTGAATAGGTTATATTCTACAAATCCAACTGGAAACTACTAATTAATTTTAGATAATCTTTAGCTTGTGAGGTTCATTTATTTATTTTTAACGAATAGTTCATTTTATGTTAGCACTTTTCGAATACTCTCTTTTCACCCACGCTTTTCGTGCCAGAATGTAAATGAGACAGCGAGCATTTATTCAGATTAATGTAGAAAGAAGTGTTATTTAAGCAAGAGTTTCGGAAGTTAGTTTTAGAACGTGTTTGCCTATTCTAGGCCACGTTGCGCTGTAATTATTAGAGACTTGATTTATTGGCGTTCAGTGCTTCTAGCCATTTGACTTTGTCTTGCCGGTTTTCTACAAATCAGAGCCTTGCTTTGAGTTTAATTATCTCGTGAACCTTTAGGCTAATTTACCACATTTTTAATTTCTTAAACATTACGTATTTATGTTAAGCCAGAAGTGCTTGGCTTGTGTAAATCCAAGTTGAGTAACTGTTAAGTTGTGTTCGAATAAAAGGGTTTTATTGTTCTTTCTTCTGACTTTTGTTTTGTTTCACATGGGTAGAAGATAATTCAACGCTAGAAGACGATAATCAATGAAATATAGTGGCATGCTTGAACATCAAAAAAGGAAATTCGTCGCCAATATTGTCCTACTGCGTATTTTATAATCCCTCCTCCAATATTGCGATCGGTAACAATCGCTAAAGCCAAAGTTATATCCTCGATCTAAAGAATAGCCCTATTGTTTATGTAAGACGTCGATCCCAACAATAAAGCCATAGTATATGGATTTAGATTTCAGTCTGCTAAATGGAAGCGCTTATTTATATTTTTGAAGGAGATCATCAAAGGAAAAAAAATTAAAAATCCATTACGATGATTTATAAAATAAGAAGATTCTAACTCACATAAACTGGATGAGGAAATCTTTTCTTCATTGAAAAGTCATTGCATTCTTTGCGCCAATCATCTGGCAATAAATCTCTGATAAAATATTTGAACTGAGTGAGAGGACAGAATGGGCCACTGCAACCGCCGATACGCAGTACAAAGGGTGGATGAATCTGTCTTTCAGGATTTGAGGAATTGAAATACAACCACCTGACGAAGTAATCTGACTCGTTTTCCTTCCATAACTCAAGAACTATGGTGGACGCATGTGGTGGAGCCTTCATATTGTACTGCCTTAACGCCATCAGCAAACATGCTAAATGACTCCCATGCTGTTAGTAAAGAATAAGATATGTATAACAATGATAGTTATTGGTTAAAACTATAATAAGTAAAGACACATTGGATAATACAATTTGAAAAATGATAGCAATATAATAATATACCAGCTTATGTCATTTTGCACGCAGTTTTCTTGGTCCAAACTGTAAAAAGATTTTTTAAGTAAATTAAACGTGCTCGCAGAGAAATTTTCAGGCGCTTTTCAAAACTACTTCTGATGTGAATTTGGAGATGGCCTGGTCTTTTTAGGGTAAAGATTCGGTTACATTATTTTCGAAGCCTGGAACGATCGGTAAAATTTGAACTTTTCGTTTTTGAGTTACGCGAGATACATACAGACGTCACGAAAAAAATCTATTCTGAATCTGTTTTAAGTCACTTTACTATCCATTTTGGAAGAAGCATTCTTTATTCTGTCCGTACGTGAAGATGCCAGAGAGGTCAAAATGAATATTTTCGAGATTGCAATACTTCTTTTATTTCTTACAAGGAAGTAAAAGGTCCGACTAGTAAAATATTATGTTTTCATAAGTTAAATACAAAAGATTGTAAAATACATTTAAGTGAAAAATTCTCGTGAATATTGTGAAATGTTTTCAGACTTAATTGTCTCTAAATGCCTATTATCAATCACATTTTCATCCAATTTTAGAAAGAAACTATAAAAACACATTTTTCGTTTCGAGTATTGATAGCTTCGTACCAGATAAAATAATATTTCTTCTTAAATTATTACTGGTCTTTTATAACGAAAGCGTATAGAATATTTTATATTTAAGTTCTGCCGCCCAGACGGTATAGTGGTTAGAGAAGCCTGACTGCCATACCGCAGGGCCCGGCTTCGAATCCTGGAGAAGGCATGGATGTAAAATTGTGTGTCTCTTCATTTTATTGTACAGGCGCCAATTTAGGTGCCTCCGCAATAAAATGGTCACCACTTCTGGGTTTAGGAGCGGCCAATGCCGTTATAGGCAAGTGCCCGCCATTAGAAATTACGGGGTTCGTAGATTTGGAGTGAATAAGGACAACATGACTTGATGAAATATCGAAACACACTTTATTTAGCCAATATTAATCAGAAAGCTCCAAAGTCACTTTTTACAGTCGTCGAAGATGTATTATAAACACGTTGGAACAATCAGCGACACAGCCTTCACACTGTCAGGCAATAACGGTGAAAACAGCTTCACTGCAAAGCACTAAAGTACAGCTCCCGAATCTGCTCGGTCGTTTTCGGAACTCCACGTACCCTCGAGACTCTCCACGCTACAACTCGCGAATGCACTCGACGACACACAGAGCACAGCTCCCGACTCTTCGGTTCAGTCTTTCCCGGAGCTTGAGACACAGTCTCTCGACGATGCACTAACCGCGATACACTAAGAGACTCTTCTATGCACTCAACGACCCACTCGGCACTCGCTGCCCGGCTGTCAACTCGATCGACTCCGCACGGACTGACTAACTCGAGACTAACTATCTCGCATTCTCTCCGCGTACCAGCAGGGTTAATATAGCTTTCGGCTTGTGTTTGAGAACATTCTGGGTTAAACCGGTAAGAATTCGTTCCAGAAGGTTCTCCAAACCGTCCATGAGATACTCCTAATTTTGTCGTCAAATATCACCAAATGGGCGATTTCTCGCCAAATGGGGCAATCCTGCCTTCCCTTGCCCTTTTATGGCAACCCTAAAACTGCTTTGCGTGGAAGCCATCTCATTGCGTCTGTACATTTCGTAACAATACGTAAGTTCTTCCACTTCATTGTGAAGCTTGACTTCCTTCCAGTGCCTTCCACTCCAACGCATGCGCATTGCTGCTGCTATGTTTAAATATGAGGACACCTTCCCTTTGCTCTAGAGGGAACTTCAAGACCGGTAACTGCACTCTTTCTTTAATTAAGACTTTACAGAGTTATTTCCGAATGAATTTAGAGATAAAGTGGTCCAGAAAACGATACCTCCAATATAATTTAAGTTACTACAGCAAAACGGAGGTCTTACTAAGACTTTCTTCCTTTAGATGGGGCGATGAAGCGATGAATTTTTCCTTCACAAAATCCTCCTATTTGCAAGTATAATCATCAAATTCTGTGCCATATAATCAGAATTTTGCACTTGAAAGCATATATTTATCATTATTATTCAAGAAAATAATGTCTGAGCTACAATTTTTTTAGCATTAAATATACTGATAAAAAGCAAAGAAAATTGTGAGTGACAACCACAGACATTGTGCATGACATGCCTAAACTCTAGTTCCCTCAATTGGCTAATAAGTTTGGCTAACACGAAATTTTAGTGTTTTAGAACATCACTATTTTGCAAACGATTAGTTGCCACACCTTTACAATACATTTTGTGGTCTCTAAAAAAATTCGTTCTAAATTCCGTTCGGCATTCGATAGCTGTAAGAAAAACAAGTCTCTAAAGTAGCCTTCAGTAGACATTACAAATTAGGCAAAATTCTTCCTTAAACTGAGAATGATTTTAAATAAAATAATCTGTGCACTTCAGAAACTAATCTAGCTCCCCCCCGCAGCGAATCCCGGTGAACGGCCTGGCTGCATGCGCGTTTCCGTTATGTAACGTGCTAAAACAATTTTGAGTTTATAAAAAATAATTTAACAGTTTTTAAGCGTGTAAAATAATGTGTTAATAATAAATGAAGTACTCACTGTAGAATACACATATACACGTTTCTCAGGTGTATACCCACGGATTTTATCTTCCATATTCTTCAGCATATATTTTAACAAAGGACCTGAAAAAATTAAGATATTTTTAAATTTTTTCTAAATTTCTATTTCTGAGAATCAAGCTAAACTTTTCACTTGCATGATAATTTGATATTAAGCAAAAATACTAAACAGAAGTAATAAGTTCTTTGCTGCGTGAGAAATTTGTAGCGAAAAACCAATTTAGAGGACTCGAAATAAGCAAATCTGGATTTATTGGATTTCGATAAAATACAAGACGGTCATTTGCCCATGCTTTCGTTGAGGACTTTCTAAGGGAAACTGATTTGTATCCGTATTGCACATGTGAAAAAACACAGGAGAGGAAATGGCAAGATTACTCTACTACAAGGTTTCCTCCTCCCAACCAAAATTCCTTGACATCACTGACTTTGTGTTACATCACTGGCCCATCGCCTGCTCCAAAACTATCTTCGTTTCTTACACTTGTAAAAATCAAACAACGTCACTGAACTCGAACGTTGTGAAGAGCCTAATCTCGGCCTCGTTGTGAAGAGCCTAATCTACGTATTTACTCACCCTGGCCGAAACGCAGTCGCATGGACATCCTGGGCTATCAGTATTTGGCCAAAATTTGAATCCAAGCGATTTTGGTTTGATTTGGTTTATTTCACCACAGCAAAACACACGAGGGCTATCTGCTTAAAGGAATTGAAGCCTTCGTGGAGGTCTTTCTAAGGGCAAACTGGCTTGCACACACGTTACATATGGGGAAAACCGCGAATATGCCTAAGCAGCCAGCCCGTATGTCGGGATTCGTACCCCGAACCGAACTACGAACGTTCAGCGATTTTACCGCTCGGCCGCTGGTGGGTCTCTGAATTCGGGTGGAACTGTATTATGAGCGCTTTTATTCGCTCAGACGACAATGGGGTAAAAAAAAAAAAAAAAAAAATGCTGTTAATCCTTTGCCTTCCAGAGGTGAAACTCGGACACTACTTGATATAATGTGGCAAATCGATAAATGACTCTTGATCACACTCGCTTTGACGCGATAATTCGACAGAAAACGGCGTTTATTTAAGTTTGGTTTTTGGCAATATCGTTTCATGAGTATATTCAACAATACATGCGTCTAAAAAAATTGCCAATCTTTAGTCTTAAATATATGACCTTAGTTCAAACTGGACAGTGGTGACTATAGGCATATTATTCTCTAACTTATGGGACCCGATAAACATGGAATACGATGGAGAAATAAGTGACGATGAGTTCGATTTTTCGGTGATGAAGAACAAAGTTACATTTATGCATAGACTACTTGACGATAGCAGTGATGAAGAACGCAATTGAAGTAAAAATAGAAACATCAGGGTAACCGACAATAAATGAGAGAGAGGCAGTGATCTCGCAAAAGGGATAGAAAATTCAGAATGGATAATGCGCAAAAAAACTGAACAAATACCGCAATCATTTGTACTCTGCGAAGGAGCCGCAAGACCCCAAGTATCTTCAGGCATAAAAGAAACATAAGATTTCTGTGACGTCATTTTGAATTAGATATAAGAAATTCAATAAATATGCGGAATATCGTCTCGAGTTGCTGGTTCGCAGGAACGAAAAAGGGCCCTCGAGTGCAAAAGTTACATGCTGTTTGGATGTGTGTGACTTTCCCAATGCAGTTTGATATATCCGCTGAGGTTTATTTTAAGAAATATAGTACTTAGCACACATTAGCGCTTAACTGGAGGCGGTATAATGCATACCTTGTGAACATGTATATTCTGTATAAATTATTTTCTGAATTCCAATTTGATAATATATTTTTACCAAACATGATTTTTTCAATATTATTTACTATTTTCTAACAATAGTCGTACAATCTAATGATAATTTTAGACAGAGCTAAACAACTTAGTAAATATCCCTAAATCAAATACGGAACGTTATAATAAACTTATTTTCATATTTTCGACAAAAAAGAAATCTCCTCTAATTCCTAGAATCCAGTTCCTATTTTACAAACTTTAAGCCAGTTTTACACTTTATTGAAGCGCATAATTTGTTACTAAATTTCTAAGTTTGAATCTAATCAGCTTTATAATCGTAAGCAGATATTTGATAATAATGTGACACATTCACATTATTATCAAATCATACAGAAAAGATGTCTTTCAAGATTTAAAATAGTTAATAAACTGTGACGAACTTACTAATATCTTTAGAGCCAGAATATAGCGACAAACAAAGCATTATATTTGATGTTTCTCCAAAATCTCATTCAATCAATTTTACAAAAGGAAGCATACACACAGATATATATATATATATATATATATATTATAATTAAATTACTTAAGGGGACTCGTACACCTTAAAACCCATAAGATGTTCGAATAGGTGACTGTTGGAAGAATTGGGATAACTTATTTATTTTAAAGCAATTACTACCAACGTTTTACAGCTGAACTACATAATATAGCTGTTTGAAATAGTAATCAGAAAGCTTGTGTTGCCACAAATATTTTATTAATTTAATCCGCTTCGTGACAACATTTTTCGTCATGTTTCCAACTTGCGCGCAACAGTTTTAAAAACATTCTGTTTCAAATTTAATTCCATATGTTAATATATAGCTTTTATAACATGTGAAAACTACTGTGAACCCAAAAATTCTAAAATTTCATGTTAAATTTTTTTATTTATTTGGAGTTGAGTTTATAAAATGTATTTTATTCAAAATTTGTAATGTCCCGTCCATAAAAATTTTTTAATATTAAAATCATCAGACTGATGTTTCAGTTAGAAAATAGTGCCCATATAAAGAATTCCATCCAATTTCAAGTATGTACCATTAGCCATTTTTAAAATATCATGTGCGCAAGGTGGAAACATGGCGAAATATTTTGCCACAAATTACAAAAATATTTGTGGCAACACAAACTTTCTGGTTACTAGTTTCTAAAGCACCTATATTATGTAGTCAGCTGTAAAAAGTTGGAAGTAATTGCTTTTAAAATAAATAAAATATCCCAATTCTTGCAACAGTCACATATTCAAAGATTATGAGGGGTTTAAGGTGTATGAGTCCCCTTAAGATAGTTCGTTATCTAAATTTGGACGAACAGAAACGTAATAATTTTCCTGCAGGGAGGGGGAGGGATTCATTTGAAGCTGATCTACCTCCTATTGATAACCTTGAATCAGATTTTGATTGAATTCCTCTTCCTTCCTTTTTTTTTTTTTTTGGTAATCTTGTATTTTAATATTTTTGTGTTTTACTGTTGTTTTCCGAAATTATTCTGGTTTGAAAATAATTTCACACTCTGGGGCAAATTTTTGTACCAAATTTCACATTATGGTACTTGAAATCTGCATAATAATTCCTCACATTTTAATGCTTCAAATCTACTCAGACTCACCAGATCTGTCCAGACTTTCCCTTAAAAAATTTTTTTAATTTTTTCAAAGAAATCCTTAACTTATTCAAAATGCTTTATTAAGTGCACACTGCTTTCTTGTCTAAACTTACAATTAAAATGTTTCTTAAATTTTCAGAAAAGTATAATCATTATATAAAAACTTTATATTTGAAAAGAATAAAATTTCAATCTTAAGCAGCATAAGCTCTTTATTTTATTATTACATTTAAATAGTCCATTTTAGTCCTTAACTTATTTTTTTAATACTTGCTAAGAAACTAATACTAAAGTTAAATAAAATTAAAATTAAATAATTCTCTTGCGCCATTGCTGCAAAGAATGACATTTGAATTTAACAAATATTCTCTCATTCATATAAAGCTAATTTAAATTTTAAATTATGAAAATTCAGTTGTATAGAAATAAAATATTAATTATTGCTCCGAATTAATTTGCAATATCATTCAAATTCAGAAAATTAAGTGTATCTAAAAATATGAAAAATATTTAATAATCCAAAAATTAATCCGAAAAATTTTTAAAATATGAAAAATTATTCAATAATCCAAAAAATTAATCCTAAAAATTTTAAAGAATTTTTAAGACTAAATTAATTTGCATGAAGTAAATAATTGTTGAGCAGGCAGGAGACAGATCTATTCAAGGGGAAGTTGCCTTCAAACCTAACTCTTCAATTATTCAATTCGTGTTTCGAATTCATGTTCATCCATATAGGTATGGGTAAAGAATTATTTAAAATCAAAAGTAAAACCAAACGCAGTGAATTGCTTAAATAAGAAATTTAACTATAAAAGAATTTCGAGAACTTTAGTAAGAAAATAGACTAGGAAACAAAATTATTAATTAAAAGTACATTGCTAACGTAATTAAGAGTATAAATCCAAAGTAATTTAGAAACCCCTTGCCCATTCTGGTATTTTCCCGACACGAATTATGCATGTAAACGAAAATAAACTAAATAAATACAATCTATAAAAATAATACATAAAGGGCAAGTAGAACTTACTATTTGCTTCACTTAATTTAGTCTTAAAATATTCTTTAAAACTTTTAGGATTAATTTTTTGGATTATTAAATATTTTTTCATGTTTTTAAATACTTGCACTTAATTTACAAATGCTTTCTGAATTTGAATGATATTGCAAATTAGTTCGCAGCAATAATTAATCTTTTATTTGTATAGAATTGAATTTTCATAATTTAAAATTTAAATTAGCTTTACATGAATGAAAGAATATTTGTTAAATTTAAATTATATATATATGTATATATAAAACTAAGTAAAATGAAAGAAAGAAACTAAAAAATGAAAACTAAGTAGAAATAAATTGCTAGTAAGCATGGCAGATTTTGGACCACAGCTTTTTGGGACAAACAAAGTTAGTATTTAAAGAATTAAAAGGTCCATGTTTATATTTAAAGAATTAAAATATACTAATTACCCAGGAAAAGCACCGAAGCAAATCTCAAATGACTTTATTCGGTGTTATATGAACTGTTTCGCTTCTCAATCAGTAGCGCTTACAGGTGTCAGTTAGTGATTACGGTTGCTAGAAAAGATTGCTTTCCTTTTATTCGAGAGCTTCTGAATTAATATTTAAATTATTTTTCGAGATAGACGTTCGGTGCCAGAAATTTTCCTGAGTCTTGACACTCTTTAGAGGAAAAAAGTGTGTTAAGTTAGCAAAGATATGTTTAAAAAAAGGGATCACGAAGTACCTCGCAAAAGGAAAATATTAAATATTAAATCATAATAAATCTTCCAATTAAAATATTATGAATTGGTTAAGTTTCAGTATCATTCAAATTTAATTTAAACATTGTCCTATGTCCCCTTGATTCGTGTCCCATGTATTCGTTCAATTCAGAAGGTTATGCTAATTAAAGTAAACGCAGGAAAATTTAAAAGTTAGTGAAAATTAACGGCAATTCATGCCTTGTGGAGTAAGGAGCTGCTTTGTTACGCTGAAGACTAAAGGTTTTTATTAGTTGGAGGATGCATCAATCTTATCGGAGATTGGTAAGTGTTTGCCTTCTAAACAATGATCAGCTGAGAATAAAATCTGGTATAGTTTTTTTTCAGAGATTTGATTTTGATAATTACAAATTTCAAAGCATATTGTCTAATATGTTAAAAGTTAGTGTCGATGAACAACAGATTTTTTAGTTTCTAAACTTTCGCTTTAATTGTAATCTACCAAGAGTGAACAAATAAAGCTTAATGATTTTTTTTAATTATATTTGTGTAAGTTCATCGTAGCCACAGCGATAATCGGCGTCCTTTAAGAAGTAATTTTCACAGAAGTACCGCTATGTGTTACATCTCTAAATAGTTAGGTTACAATATTAATATTTGCTTTAAATTTACTAAATATTGTTACAGTGTAACCTAACCATCTATTAATTGCTGTGTTGATAATTGCTATTGCTCTGTTGATCAAGGTCCTGTTTTCCAGAAATGAAGACGTTCTTTCTCGTTTGCCTTATTGAATGCATGTAACAGTTTATATGTATATATGGCAATGATTTAGGCTGTGAAAATGAAGAAACATTTTCTATGGAGGAAGAGAAAGCATCAGCTACTTTGCAGTCAACCGGATGGTGATGGATGACTACTCGTTACAATAATGCTGCGTTGGAGATGACTGCACTTTTGAAGAATCACCAAACAGTTTTTCCCATAGCATAAATTTATTATCTAAGGTATGATTTCTTAGAAATACATACAAGGTGTCCAACAAAGAAGTTCCTGATTTCAAAATTAACGATCTCAAAAACAAAGATCGATAGAGACTACAACTAGCAGTACATTTATTGTGAATGCTGTAAGAATGTTATAGAAATTTCAAAATAATAGTTATCAAAGCTCATTACAGATGTCGCTGTAATATCAATGCATAGTGCAAATAAATAACACTCCGAAATACATGTAAGAGTGATTTAATTGAAGACTGGTACATAAAATGACGAATATCCATCAATACCCATAAATCTCAGTTGCTAATTATTCTTAAAAAGCACATGAATATATTACCTAAAAAAAGCTGACTCTTTATGATAAAATTATTCCAACAATTCGCAAAGGCAAATATCTTGGTATCACTTTCAAAAGCAAACTTAATTGGAAGGATCACATAGAAATGTTTAGAATAAAGAACAAAACTCGTCAACTGCCTTTTTTTCAATTATTGGCAGGTATTCCAAACTAGACTTGAGAAAGAAACTTTTCATTTATATCTCAGTTGTGCGTTCAGACCTTATCTATACTTCACGGACTTGGACTACTCTTAACAAAAATTACCTTTCCAAATTCTAACAAAGTAAATATCTGTGCGTTATTACTAACGCACACCTCTACGTGTTCGCAATGAAAGATTGTACAAGGACCTCAATATCAAAAGTATTGAAAAGTTTCCCAACAAAATCAATAGAAATTTCCACAAGAAAAAGCTGTTACTTGTAAACATCTCGCAAATTTTAACTTGTTTCAATACGAAATTCTACAACAGGACGAAAATTACGCCCTTATGCAGCACGTCTCCTAAGGGATTTAAATTTTTCAATGTAAACTCTATACATGCACTTCCGTAACAGTATATATTGTATATATTTATTTTTCTATCCCTATTTAAATTTTTTGCTTGTATTCTATGCATCCATTTTTATCTCTACTATGACTTTAATCTCGTATTCCAGTGCATTCGGACTCTAGTTTGGTCTCCCAAACTTAGGAGAAAATGTTCTCCTCTCTTCCACATTTGTTCAGTTTTCTCTTTTGGGAATCTCACTTGATGTATTTTTACGGGAAGTGCCTTGAGGGCAACATATTCACCCTGACACCTTGCGAAATTCGCAACATCGCGAAATAATGTTACTGATACCGACAAAAGCGATCAGTTTCACCACTGAAACATGAAAGCAAGTTGGTATCAGGACTTGTATGTCTTTTAATCTGTTTCGGGAATATGACGTGTCATGAATGGGAACAGGGAGCTTACTCAAGCTGTGTTCAAATATGTGTGGAATGGACGACACAAGCAGGAAGGGTTAACTTTACCCTTTATTTGTCCACGATATTGCAGGTGGTGCTTCCACACTTCGGGATACAGAGACCATTCACTTGTGGTCCGAACGTAAAAATATAAAAACTACTAACTAACTAAAAATAAGAATTAACTTCGAGTGCTTACACAACTGACTAACGCTAAGACTGACCTTTTAAATTATTACGTATGTAGTACGCAAACTGCCGAAACTACAATACGTTTTAAATATCAAGAGGACTAAACCTCTGGCCTTAAAGGCGGACAACAGCTGATTGAAAACTCGCGTGTAATACAGTGGCTCACTTTCTCTCTAAGTCTGCTCTTGGCAAAAAGCCACAACTTAAATACTTGGGCGTTAGTAAATACAATTTATATAAACAAATTAACGCGTTTATTCTGGTCGGAAGTGGAAAATAAAAAAGGACAGTACAGTTTGAAAATAAAATAAACTTTAGTAAAACTTAAGATCCTTACAATGGTACCGAAGGAAAAGGTTAAAACTATGTACTCCAAAACGAACAAGGTGTGTTTCTGGTACTGGAATACCATAGAGGTTAGAACACAACAAGGTATAGTTTTCAAATATGACTTAATGTTCCCAAAGGACTCGATGTGAAAACCATTTGCAAGATCTTCGCCAAATTCCAACGAGCAGGCCAGTGTGGCCAATAATCACTTATGTTAGTACCAGGAAAACTGTAGTTACACTTGAAAATGTCACCACTGTTGTTAAAATTATTCAGCAAAATCTAAAGAAAACCTTTCGAAGAATTGCACCAGAGACTGGTTTGAAGTGTTCCAGCACGCAGAAAATACTGAGAAACAGCCTAGACATGTTTCCATGCAAAATTCAAATTCTTGTATGTATTCAGTGGCGAAACAACACAGGATACGAGATTCATGTATGAAACTGAAATGTTGTTTTGAGCGATTGTACTTTCACCATAATGAAATCAGGTCATGATGTATGACAAATTCATTCGTCTTCCACTCATGGTACAGTATGGATTTATCCAAAAATAGGTACAGAATAAGTAAGAAGATAAGTTATAGAGTTGCCTGGATTACAAAAGCGTAATAATGAAGCTCTAATTACCTATGCGGTATCTGTGTATGAGCTTTGTCCTGAAGTTCCAATAGTATGACAACCCAGCTTGGCGTTGCAGTTCACTCCAATAGCGTAGAGCCCATTCTGGCATTGTCAAGTTGTAGTCTCTCTAGGGGAGATATTCAAATTATTAAAAAAATCTTAAAAACTATAAAAAGCCATTAAATATGAATCATAATAATTCAGCACACAAATGATGAATTTCGTGCTGTCGAAGAATTCAGGCAACCGTGTTTATAATAATCCTTCAGTCAAACAATGTCAAACAATGTCGTTTTCGTATGCAAATTCCCTTTTGCTATATTCCAAGTTCCAACAGTTTTTATGATATTTTTTGCGTTAAGTCCAACTTTAAAATATCAGCATGGTGGAATTAGCTAGCATTGGAAGAAACTGCGGTGACATTTCTGCAGGAATACCACATTTTTTAGCAAAATATCTAAAGGGAACAACTGTGTTTGAACATGCTGTCAAAGCGATTGTTAAGGAATTTTCTCCGGAGGGGGTAAGAGAGTTATAAATTGGTTTATTGATTCGTTTTTGGTTTAAATACTTAATTAGAATGTAAAATATATGTGCAATTGATTTCTGGTACGAATATCTAATTAGAATGGAAAATATGTGTGCAAAAATATTCTTTAAGTGTAATAATTTTTTTCAATTGTATTGAAAAATTCAGTATGTTATTATTCTTTTTCATGTTTAAAAATCGTCAAATTGTGCCATTTATACGTAAATACCAATTTTCAAATTTAATTCCATTCTAAATTTCTAAAATTCCCATTTTCAACAATAATCTTGTTATTATTTAATAAAAAATTATCATTTCCCGGAGAGTCTTCGAATTATGCACTGCCTACGAAATCTATTGGCATTCTGTTATTCCAAAATCTTATCAGAGACAAGATCTTCTCGAAAAAAAAAAGGTGATAACACTTTTCCAGCTATTAAATATAAATCGGGAAAACAAAAATCGTAAAAATGTATTGTAAGAGTAGAAATCTCTCAAAAGGTTAAGGTAAACTTATAAGGTTTATCCTAAGTTTTTAACAGATAATTTTGAGTTAAAGCCACTTTCCTATCCTTCTTAATTTCAGCTTACAATTTCCTGCCAGAACGTGTTTTCAGAATCGCGGTTAAATGCAAATGAAGGAAGAGCAAGTATTTAGAGTTGAAGTTCTACTGACTTCGTTAAAGAGCCAGAGATTCTGAGCAGCGCGCGTTCGCCTTTTGGCTATACTCTCTCTTAAGCTATTTCTACGGTCGGCGGTATTTCAGACCCTTGATCGCCTCACCGTTAGTTAGCGTTAAGAGGCCAACTCTTGTAGAATTTTGATAGCTTCGGCTATATCTTTTTAGTTAAGTTTTATTCTTAGTATTCCTGAGTTCAAACCCAAGTGGAGGCTTTGCTGTAAACTCCAAGAAGGAGTCAACTGTTGAATTTATTTTTAATAATAAAGGGTAATTAACCATTCGTACGTTTACGTTTCTAGCTTTCTGAACCAAGCGATTATTCGTTTACCAGTTCTTAAGGTTCCAGACATTTAGCTGCAAGTTATATTTAGGAACATTACAAACTTTTGCATGGTTTAAGTAGGTCGTTTTGTTTTTTACGAACTTAAGCACTAAGTAACATACATGATTACTTTGAGTAACTTACTTCACAAGCCAAAGTTTTCGCAAGGTCAGCTGCTCGTGTCCAGTCTTTGATATTCCGTCCAGAATGCTCAGACCAAAAGTTGTACAAAGGCTAAAAGTATGCAACGAAATAAGCGTAACGAATGTGCACAGAAAAAGCAGCAAAAAAGGTTTTTAGAACACTTAAAAAAACCTTGCAAAATCGATAATTGCTTAACTTAATTTGAATAAAAGTTCATCAAATATTAGATCATAATAACGTAACGACATTTAGAATATAAAAGGAAAATTGTAATTTTTACTTTCTGTTTTCAGACATGTTTCTAAATGATCATGAATTGCTGCATAAAATAACGAATTCCGAATTTTAAATTTTGATTTCGGAAACATTCGTAGGATAATTATAACGAAATAACCGATACGCCGACGTTCGTTTTGCTGTTCTTTCTGTTTTATCCTTTCTGTCACCTACTGTGAGTCAGTAGTGCGACTTCATATCTACTACCTATCAAAAGTGTGACTTCATTTCTCCTGGTTGTTAGCTTTTGGCACGATGGTTTGATTCCACTTTTCAGTAAGCTGAAGAATTCTTCAATATTATATCAAAATTAAATCACGAAGAATGATTTATAATTCTGCTAAACATTTTACATAAACTTGAAAAAAGCAATAAGGCAAACGTAAAGCTAAAATTAGCTAAACTAATAGCTAAATGCTACACACAGCAATTTAACGCGAAGTTGGCTCAGAACTTCACCGGCGTGAATTTCAACTATTGGGAAATATAATGCAAGGCCCAAGACAGGAACTCTTATAGAGAACAGGGAACCTAGTAATGTGGCTCGTAGAGGTCAGTCTCTCAAACTCAAATGGTCAGTCTTAACAAACTCAAAACCTCACTCAAATACACTCGAACTAATTTACGTTCTGGTGGGAAAATGGAAGGAGAGATGTGACAGTACAGATTCAAAACACAAAATAACTGATGATAAACTGATGATGACTGGAGAAGAACCTCACAACCGTCAATAGGTGAACGCAAAGCGTATTTTAGAACTTCCTAATACAATTTACAGGTCAAAGCTGAACGCAATAAGTTTTGCGTTCACCTGTAAATGCCATTATGATTGTTACAAACTTACAGAGATTCCCTGTGTGTCACTATGCCCCTTTTTGCTGCGTTTGTTATTGAACTGTAAACTTTTTTAATTTCTAAAAGAATTATGAATCCTCATCTGTATTAAATGGATTGTGAAAACAATAAAACTGAGCTAAATTAAATAATTACTACGATGTGCTTCTTTGAATTTACCGAATTGTTAGGAGCTTTACAATTTAACGGGAATTGAAGAGGCTGTAGGCTATCTTAGTGAAGGCTTCATTACAAAAATTTGTCGACAGAAAACTTTAGTTATAATGCCTTTCCTTCTTTTCTTTGTAGAGACATTAGGTTATTTTGAAGCAGAAATGATAAAAAAACGAGCAATGCACTCGCCGGAACTCGAACCACGGACCTCTCGGATACGCACCGAGTGTGCTGACCATTACACCACGAAGGCATACTAAGAAAACAGAAGAAATACCTTATATACTCCCTCTTTTTAAAGAACGGCCCACCAGCGGCCGAGCGGAAAAGTCGCTGAACACTGGTAGTTCGGTCCGAGGTTCGAATCCCGCGAACGGGGCTGGCTGCATGGGTGTTTTCGTGGTTTTCCCCATGTGTAACGTGTACGAGCCAGTTTCCCTTAGAAAGTCCTCCACGAAGGCATCCCTACCCTTAGGCAGATAGCCCTAGTGTGCTTTGCCATAATTAAATACACCAACACCTTTTAAAGAACGACTGGGAATTAGGAGACCCAATCGCCAAATCCTGGCGGTGGAGAATCATCACCCACCACCTTTTTTAGTTCGGGCGCCACCTGTAGAGACATTAGGTTATTTTGAAGAGAAATCATGAAAAACGAGCAATGTACTCGCCGGGACTCGAACCACGGGCTCTCAAATATGCGCCGAGTGTGCTGACCACGAAGGCATGCTAAGAAGGCGAGAGAAATACATTATATCTTATACAAAGCCTAATGACCTGAATTCCCTCATACTATTTTCAAAAGCATTTTAAATTACAGTTGTTCGGTTTTGCGCTAGACGCTATAAGAATGTGACTGATTCACACATACGATTTTCTGAAGCAAATGCAAGGATGCTAGATGCTCGAATACAACTAATATTTTTAATAAAGTAATAAATCATTTCTAACATAGAATACGTATACCATATAGCGTGCAACTGAAGATAACTGAGATATTACCATGTATTTTTCTCTTATATCATCCGCTTCTCTAGACATTTTCATCTCATGTTCATCATCAGAAGCCACAGGGCATTTTCTTCTGGACAATACATACTGCAGAAGAAATTCGTAGTAGTCTTATTACTTTCTGTATATCATTCGAATTTATTTGTATATAAAATACATGATATTTTACTCCATAACATTTACAGTTTTAAATATTACCTTTTAACAGTTTTAAATACATACTATACGTATACTAGTAAAATACGTATTAGGAAACTTTAAAAGTTTTCAAACATTTGCATTTACCTAACATCCGAATTTGGAGCCAGATCAAGATGAAATGTTTTAATATCAAACGTTCAAACACTAAAATTACTAATAACTTGAGTCCACATTTCAAGTTTTGATAGTGCATTTTATATAGATAAATTAAATTAAATTCCTTTAATTTCAGCCTTTTTGATATAAAATAAAATGCTCTCAATTTAAAATATTTAAAGATACACAACTAATGATTTTATGAAGATCTGCAGCATTAAATGAAATATGTTTCTAGCCCCATATATTAAATACTTCTATTCAGAATTTTCTGAGTAAATACAATAATGTTGCATATGGTCATAAAAATATGAGTTGTAAATATTATAAATGAAATGACTTATAAATGATATAAGTTACACATACAATTGAAAAATATATTAAAGATTTAATAATTAAAATGCGTTTTTTGTTTTTAAAGCGTTTAATTTGTTAAGCAACTGTAACCTTATTAAGTTTGAAAGATTATTTAAAGACCTTAAACTTACAGAATGGGGCGTTTCGAGAATTGGCTATTTGCGAGACCTTAATTAATAATCTTATATTGCGAGTTGTCTGATAAATGCTGTCGTGGGGTATCCATAATATCGCATTTTCACATTATCATTATCTGAACGAATGATACGAAGGACTTAAACCTTTAAACAAGCCTTTGGTTTCAAAGTTTGATTTAGCGTTAATATCTGATTGCATATTTTTTAAAGAAATCATCAGAAATTACGTACCCCTTTAATATTACTTTAAACATATCATAATACCATTTAATTATCTTTATTTCGTAAATATCGGTAAATTATCTTCATTTCGTAATTCCATAAAGTAGAAAGAAATTTTATTTATTTTAAAGAAAACAAGGGAATTTCTCAAACTCAGAACACTATCATCACACACACAGAACTAAAACCTACCACATGTTGCAATACAACAAAGTAATTCTTTTTTTTTTTTTTTAATGCAATTTTTTTAGCAAACTATGAAACTTGTTTTTCAGAATGAAAGCAAATTAAAGAATAACCAATAATCACCTAGAAAGAAATACAAATCAAATTCTTTGTATAAAAAAAATAATATTTTTGACGAAATTTAAAGAAAATTTCTAAATTACGTAATAAGTATCAATAAATTCAGTTTAGGAGGATAAACCCAATTAGCTATTAAACTACACATTTTTAACTTTCCATTGCTTAGATGAATTGTTTTCTTCTCATTAACTAGAACAGCCAAACTGCAAGAGCGCAGACAAAAATGAAAGTATCAATTGTCACAGAACTTAATTAAAAGCTATATCTAGTAAGACTGTAGAGACATTAGGATTTTTGGAAGCAAGAGAGATGAAAAATTAACAACCGCCTTCGCCGGGAATCGAACCAAGGACGTCTGCAATACCGGCCCAGGTTACAGACGACCACACCACGAAGGCACGCCAAGAAAGTGGGAGAAATACCTTATAAGACAACCAAAACTTATCAGAAACTATCCACCACTGCTTGCGGGATTGGAGAAATTCGAGTATTAAAATACAAATAAAAGAGAAGATAAATTTTCAACTTCTCATTGATTCGTCTCATTAATTCAACTTCTCATTAATCAGGGCTTCTAACATTGCGCGCTACCAGATACAAATATCACTCAATTTATAGACACTCAAGCGGGTTACCACATCTCTCTCTCTCTCTCAACTATAAGTTCTATCGTTATTTAAATTCAATTTAATGTACATTGATATCAAAGCCGATCGAAGAAATTGAAAACACAGAAAAGAATTAACATAAAGTGTTAATTAAAATGTGTAACAGGAAAAAACTTCCCAAATCACTTAAATTCAGACTGGCAAAAGTAAAAAATGGCCTGCTGTGAAAGAATAATTGCACAATTGTATCTGAATGAAAGAGAGAAACCTATCTGACACAATTTAAAGAATTTATATGAATACTGTCTAAACGTAAATATGACTGTTCAATGCAAACTTCCAAGTTTTAGATTAAACGTTAATATATACATATATATATATATAAACTTAAATCATCTAAATTTATTATTAAATTGTAATAAAAGCAAGGCAATTCCTCTATAATATAATTGCAACCTCTATAATATAATTCCTCTATAATATAATTGTATAAGAGTTTTAGTACAATATCAAAACAAATCCAATTAAAGAAAGAATTCATAGTAGAACAAACTCGAAAAATAAAAATGCGAAAGCGAAAATATACAAAATTATACAAATAAAAAATTAATCTCCTTTTATTGAAACTCCAGTTCAGAAGTCGGTGAATCTTCGGATTATGGTAACTTGACGATTTTTTGGCGAAACTTTGGCGACCAACCCTGCTACAGCAACCTGCTGTTTTTTCTTTTGGACGCCATTTTGTTTTCACGGAGTAAAGGCCATTTTTTTTTTTTTTTCCCCCAACAATCTGCTAGCCGAATTACGCTCATGTTAGAACTTTTATAGAACAAAAGTGCTTAATCATGACGAAGATTAGGTGCGAAATTGGAAGAAAGTGTAGAATCGTCCACTGCTTGCCACATTTTTAAGAATTGCATATACACGTATCCATGTGCACGTCGACCTATTTTCATTTAAAAAAACATCCTCGAATTGCACAAAAATGGCATTGCGCACATTCTTGACTTTATCGATGTACACATCGACCTATTTTCAATTAAAAAGTCAAAGAAAATTGACAAAATTCCAATTCTTCTTACTCTTGTAAAAACTGCCAAACAAATAAGTGGGCTATTCTGCACTTTAGCAGCGAAATTGTTTCTAAGTGCTTATTAGCTAAAATCTCGATTGAAATTTTCCGGAAAAAAATCAGATTACATGTCTCATGATCTCTCATTTCTCTGAGACAAAAAAAATCTGTGATTCGAATTGTGTACTTCTCAGATTATTGCTAAAATCCTAGCTAGTAACCTTTATCGCCTTATCAAAATGTCGCCAAACTACCTGTTACCATATTCCAAAGATTAGCCCAGAACTCATCAGGGGAAAATGAATTAAAGCTTCATAAAAGTCAATTAATGTGTTTCGAAAATATGTTTCGTTCTCCTGGTCCATTTGAGATCAAAAACCGTAAAAAGATTGCACCAAATTTTTATTAAAGACTTTAAAATACATATAAAACCCAAAACTCGAATCTCAAATGTACCAGAATTTTGCCTACAGATTTTCGAATCACTTGGAAAAAAGAATAAAACATAACACTGTGCCAAAATGACAATTAAAAAAATCATAGAACTTTACATTATGTACATTAAAATTCAACAAAACTAAAAATAATTGGTCTAAAACCAATATATGAAACATACATAGTTCCAAAATCACAGTTAAAAATCATAGAAATTTATATTATGTACATTAAAATTCAACTAAACTCAAACAAACAAATTGGTCTAAAACCAATATATGCTAATCCTAAATTCAAAATCAAGTGTAAATAAAGAGCAAAACTAATAGTCATTTAAACAAACTAAAAATTGGGAGGTCCCCGATTATGGTAAACAAACTTTTTTAATATCAAGGAAACGAAAAACTGTACTAAGATTTTTATAAATAAAAAGGTTAAAACTGAGCTTTAAACAGCTAAAAATGAAAACCTATTTGAAAGAATAATTGAAAAAATTGAAAAATGTAAACTTACTTAAATCTTACTGAATTCTAAAGATGACCAAATGGTGTTCTGACTAAAGAAAGTAGAATTCAAACTGCTCTGTATTTTGTAGTTCTTGGAAAAGTAAGCGACAAGTTCAAACTGTCCAATAGCAGAACAAAATATTTTAACATGTGTTCAAAATGTCTACCCTGTAATATTTTATGTGCGGGGGTGTCATTGGACGGGTGTGTTCTGTAAAATTATTACCGTCGATTGGTTTGGTTTATTTAATTACGGCAAAGCACACTAGGGCTATTTGCCTAAGGAAAGCGATGCCTTCGTGGAGGACTTTCTAAGGGAACTGGCTCGTATACACGTTACGCATGGGGAAAACCACAAAAACGCCCATGCAGCCAGCCCGTTCGCGGGATTCGAACCTCGGACCGAACTACCAGGGTTCAGCGACTTTACCGCTCGGCCGCTGGTGGGCCTTATTACCGTCAAGGAGGGGGTGATCGTTAGCCCAAAATGGCAGCGTAAGAAACTTCTAAAAGAAGCTGCTTATAAATCCTATCACTTCACGGAACTACAATTTTGGCCTAACATAATTTGCCAGTTGGCATCATCATTCTTACTTGAGTAAAAGACGAAACACCTTCGCATTTATTAATTATTGTTCATTGAACGGAAGTTGGTTTGTTCCCCTTGAAAAGTCAACTAATTTCCGATCAATAGCGATAATTACTAGTTTTTTAATTTTTAATTTCTTTTTCAAAGTTTGAAATTTTGTTATTCATGATTTAAATTCAAGTCCCCTTAAGCGTTTTTTTCATGATTTACATTCAAGTTATTTTAAAACACAATTTTCGGAATTAAACTTCCTACATATGGGTTCACTCTTGTTTGATACATTTTACTAAATTTATATTAGGAGATAATATAATCAATATTTCTTTAGTATATATATATATATATTTTTTTTTAAGTTTTATTTATTTTATTTTTTTTACGAAGACAGATTAGAAAGGGCTAAAACTCATATATATTTCATATTATTTTCTGAATTAATGAAACCAAAACTGATGCAATGTATCAAAATATCTGATGCAATGTATCAAAAGGATTAGTAAGTATTTGCTGACTGAGAACATCACACCTCAAGTATAGAGAGTTATACTATTCAGAAAT